GCCTACTGGTGTTGGCCAGAGGGGCCGATGGCGCGATATGGCAGCCTCGCTTCTGTCAGTCTGCCCCAGGGCAGCTGTGGCTACAACTGTAGCTGCCTCCACCAGTGTGTGAATGTGAGAGTGAATGAATAGTGGTATTGTAAAGCGCTTTGGGTGCCTTGAAAAGCGCTATATAAATCCAATCCATTATTATTATTATTATTATTAAACATGGGACCCCCGCCCCGACCTGCTAGTCCAGAGGCAGCACCACAGATCTCCACACAACGTTGTAGAGGTGTGTCAACTGGGACAGCCCTACAACATCCAGAACCTTTAGGAAGTTGGTGTTTAACTGCCTCAGAGACCTTGCTACCTGTGATGGATGAATCATCCACCTCGTGTCTAGGCTCTGCTTCCTCTACGGAAGATGTGTCAGTAGGACTAAGGAGGTCCTCGGCGTATTCTTCCACAGTCCAACTATGTCCTCAGGTGAAGTCAGCAACATCCCACCCACACTAAAAACCACAAGAATAGCACACTGCTTTCCCCTCCTGAGTCATCTGACGGTTTGCCAGAATCCCTTTGAGGCAGTTTCATGGCCTCACCAAACTCACCAAACTCCTCCCATACCCTAATTTTGGCGTCAGCTACCTCACAGGCCACATTCTGCTTGGTCTGTCGGTACCCATCAGCTGCTTCTGAAGTTCCAGAAGCTAACCAAGTTAAATAGGACTCCTTCTTCAGCTTGATTGTGTCCTTCACCTCCTGTGTCCACCATCTGTTTCCGGGCTTACCACCATGACAGGCACTTTGCAGCTGCAGCTCCTTCCGGCAGCCTCAGCAATGGAGGTGCAGACTCAATGTCCCCAACCTCCCTCAGAATGCTGTTGAAGTTCTGCTGGAAGTGCGAGTTAAAGCTGGGAACACCTAGCAAAAGCTTGCAATACATTTAGGGGTTCTGGGTCTTTCCAGCATCTTTTCCCACAACTTGATCCAACTCAATACCAGAGTTGGATCAAGTTGACAGATCAGCTCCTCTCTTCAACTAATGTGTCCAAAATGCAGACGCAATGATAAGATTACAAAGAGATCATTGACCTGCGCCCTAGGGTTTCTGGTCCCACGTGCCCTTATAGACATCCTTATTTTCAAACATGGTGTTCATTAAAAACTGTTATTTGTACATATGTCTGTGTAAGTTCTCAGTCATCCAAGTCATGGTAGTCTAAGGAGCTTGAAAAGAAAAGCGTCTGGACTTCTTTAAGTTTCTTGAAGACATTTCACCTCTCATCTGAGAAGCTTCTTCTGTTCTAAGAAAAATGGTGGAGAGAACAAGGTATTTAAGCCCTGGTGGAAGTTATCCCTTAAGAAGGTAATTGACCCACTATTGATCATGTGTCTTGTCACATGAGCCAATGTGTGAAAAAGGGTGTGGGTCATTATCAGCACAGGTTTCGGGTGAAGGCACCTGAAACCTGACTAGGAGGCCATTCCTCCTAGTCATGTCCCTCCAGGTCTCGCTGTCATTGCCAATGTGAGCACTGAAGTCACCCACAAGGACAACAAAGTCACCCGGTACAGCAACTCCACAGCTTCTCACCGATGGCAACTCCAGACTGGAACAAAGTCCAGCCACTCTCCAGGAGACTGTTTTCAGAACCTGAGCTGTGCGTTGAGTTGAGCCCAACTATACCTAGTCATTATACCTCACACACTAGCTCAGACTCGAAGAAGTCCCAGCCTTGATAACCAGCCTCGATAGCTAGCCACCTGACACAATGCACCCGATCCCTATGGCGTCTCCTTTGGGTGGTCAGCCTACCAGAGGGCATGGCCAAGTAGCTTCTTCAGGATGTGCTCAGGTGGGATCACACAAAACCCTCCACCATGGTAAGGCGGTGATTCACAGAGGTGAAAATTCAATGTCTCTCCACATAAATATTAAATTAATTCAAATGAAGTGCGCCTACTCCTTATACACCTCTGAACTCCTTTCAACACAGCTTCTGTTTTAGATTGCTCCAGAGAATTTTGTGCTGATCACTCCAACCTTGATCTGAAACTTCACTACAGACATAAAAGCAAACATCTAGTTCTGTAACCTCATTTTCATGGCCAGAGACATTACTGCTAACTCATACCAATGTGATCTCATGTCATCACCCAACACACTTGCCAGACTGCTTGTGATGTTTTTTTTATTTATTCAAAATTAACTTCAGCTAGAAAGGTTTAGACACACTTGAAAAAGAAACCATCAAACAACATAGATGAGATCAGCTTAAAACTAGCAGTATACTTTGAACCTGAACTCACAAAGGATTTTGCCCTCTGTCTGTCTTTCTCTCTAACTGACGGATTCACTGTTAACAGCAGTTTATCGCCAGTAGACTGGCTAAAACCCCTGGAAACTGAGATCCAGATGTTTTTAAACACAGTGGTGGACTATATATATATATTGATTGTGGTCAGCTTCAGATGATTTACCTAAATGAGCTGCTCCGAATTTCCCAAAATCATCAAACAGCTAAGCCTTGCAGTGATTTTTGTTCCTGAATACAATGTGTTACCACCTGTGTACTGCAAAGCATGCGCACATATACAAATGCTGTGTTTGCATCAAAGAGCCTTGTCTACTTCCACTGGACTGATTCCCTCTGTAGGTATAGATATTTTGGCCAATGACAGTTAATTTTTGTAACACATATTCCTGTTTTGTCTTGTCTGTGTCTGTCTGTGTCTGTCTGTCCATCTGTTTGTCTCTCCATTCATCTGTCTGTTTTTTTGTTTTCCCAAAAATCCTCCTTTGGCCTATAAAATGTTCCCTATTTTCTGATGTTTTCCTTTTATACTATTATTTGTTTCATTTACAAATTCTTGTCACTGTAAAAAATGGTTGATATGTTCTATATATGATGTGCAATGCTCTCATAACATTTATTAATATAAATCTTGGCAATATTTTCTACCATTCCATCTATCTGCCTCATCATAAAAATGCTCATGTTTTCATATCTTATTATGACTGACCCTTCATAACCTTTTACCTGTGCATGCCATTCTCATGTAGCCACAGGTTATGAGAAGTCACGTAGCCTCAATAACATCTCTGGAATGACAGGCGTCCCGCTGCGCCTCACTCCCATCACCAATTCCACCTTTGAACCCTTTGAGCCGCCCGGCCTCAGGCGATGTCATTCACCCATCCCTTCAATCTTGTAGCATAGCCCACAGATAGCCACCAGATTTAACAACAACAGCAGCAACAGTAACATTTAGAAAGATTTTTTTGTCTGATTATTTGTTTTTGCTTGAAAAAAAAGCCTACACACAGGAATTACAGTTTTTCCAGGCCGCTCTGTCATTCTGCATTCATGCCTTGTGTTTTGTTCTTGATCTGAAACAACAATAAATGCAAGTTCATGGAGCCCCTAGAGGCCCCATTTAATAATTTCAAGAAAGATTAGCTGAACCTTACTGAAATAAATGTGGCAAATTTGCCTTACTAACATGAATAGAGTTTAGTTTACAGTAGAATAATAGAAGAGTTAGTTTACCTCTAGTTTTCCTGTGCTACGCCTTGCCTGTACTTCAACTGCACTTGTACATCAACACTTTAACCTTGGCACCTAAGAGGAGTTAGAAATCTTCTAATATGAAGCCTAAGAATGCATACAGTGACACACAGACACCAACATATTACAGCAGCATGTGTGTTTTTACTCCAGAATAAGAATATACACTAGCCTATAAGTGACTTAGAAGCAAACGTATTTTGTATTTAAATGCCCCTTAATGTAGCTCCTCTGCAACTTCAATTTGTTTGCTGTAGAAGGTGATGTGCTAACACATCATCAACCATTTAATATAGCCGAAAAGAGACAGGCTCCCATATATGTCAACTCCAACACCAGCTTCTGAGCCCTTGTGCCCTTTCTCCTGCTTCCTGGTAATTAATATAGAAGGACCTGTTAGTATGGTGGACAAAGTACTGTGGTTTTTCATTTGTCCCTACCAGTAAGGAGTTATAATGTACAGATATAATGTATTTTCCCATAACAGAATTGTACATTATGCTGATTTAACCATGCAAGCACTATTGTGCAGTAAAGCTAGTTACAAACTCATTATACGTAATAAATGTAGGACAAACATTATAGAATGTCAAGTTTTACACAGCTAAAAGTACAAAGCAGCAGGGACAAGGACTAGGGATAAGTGCTCCCTGTGGTCTGAAACTTTACACACACACATATATAGATATAAATATGTCATTGATCATATCATATGATCTTATTACATCTGCTTGAGCCATCAGAGATGATCACTTTCTTGTTTCTTTGTCTTTGTTAACTACTTTCAAAAAGAAAACTACAAAGAAAGCTTCTTTGGGGTTTTTTCACCAGACTGGGGTCAATGAATTGACAGGACTGTAAGCTGATTGTCCCCCTGCATCACCACAAAATGCATGCTCTCATGTTTATGTGTAGATAAAAAGAAACACATTGAAGCAGTGACTTTTAGTTTGTAGGGGTTAACCCTGACTACAGTGAAGACATGAACTTACTGGAAGAAAGGAAAGAAATCAGCAAATCTTCCAACTAGCTGTTTCTTTCCTTTCTCTGTACGTGGAAAAATGTCCTGCAATAGACTAGCCACCTTTCCGGGGTATTCCCTGCCTCTCTCCCTGTGACAGCTGGAAAAGACTGCAGCACCCCTGATGCTTAGGAAAATAGCTGGATGGATTTATCTATAAAAGCTCCAGACATTGCAGCTGCACCTGAGAGTTTGAAGCAGTTTTCTTTAGGCTTATGTTCACCAGACCACCACCATCACTGCTGCTGCACCATCACTACTATCACTGACTCTAATGTGGCCAGTGGCAATATTTTTCGTTTTCTCCCCATTTCGCTTCTTGTTCTTTCCCTGTTTTTGCCTGTCTTTTACTCCTGAACCCCATCCTACCCTTCTTCTCCTGTCCTTCCATCTCTTCTTTGTTTTTGGCTGCGGCTGCTCAGTGGGAGGTACAGTGAACGGCTACTGGAGTGACAGCCCATGGTAGAAGAAGAGCAGATGCCAAAAACCACACAGGAAGAAGACAGCAAACAAAGGACGGACAGAGAAAAACACAATCTAGACAAAGTCCGCATCAGTGTTTTTATGTGCATGCGTGCCCAGACCTGCAGCTACCTCTGTACTAAAGCAAATAAATTCAGCAAGGAAGAACATATCTCCCCTCACATGTTCTTCTTGATTCCTGATGAAGATTTTTGTGGAAAAATTTATTTGAGTGCATTTGGAAAAAGACGGTCCGTTGGTTAAGTTGTATCTTTTTGATTCCCCTGTGCACAACTCTTGCTCTCTCCTTTTTTCTCTCCCAGCAGAAAGTAGAATAGAATGTTTCATTTGTTTACACATCAAAGAAAAATCAAAATGATGCAAATTTGCTTTAAAATTCAGAGAGTATTTAGAAAATTGCACCAAAATAAGTGTACAGTGGGAGGTATGTCCTTCCTCATACTTTTTTACATTCAGACTGTGAGTTACAGAAGGTGAGAGCACTGCTTATAGACATCATTTTTGAATGCTCATGTATGTTTTTGTTTGTTTGTTTGTTTTTTAAACAAATATCTTGTTTATGTTTAAATGTATGTTTACTTTCTTGCCACAGCAGTCTACAGTCTGGCTGCTAAGTTTGGAGCTATGGCTAGAAAGTCTGAGCTTACCTTAGATGGAAAGGAAAATAACAACTCCCAGTTTCATTACCTAATATAGTGTGGGAACATGATGACAGCTTGTTATTATTTTCAGGTTAATTTTCAGGTTTGTTAGAGGTGTTAACTGCATCCCAGTTTTGAATATTTATGCTAAGCTAACTTCATTTATCACCTGCTGGCTGTTTTTCAGGCACAACTGCTCAAGCTGCCGTTGGCAAGAAAGTGATGTACAGATTTGTCCAAAGTGTGTAGCTATTCTATGTGTTTTATGTCAGGCAAGGTTTTCTATTGTTCCCGTTTATCCTGATGCTCAACCCCTCTGTGGTGCAGTAATGAATAACGTGGATATTTCAGTCCACTGGGGGATTCATGAAAACCAGGAACACATTTACACACCTCATTTCATCCTCTCCTTTTCCCAGCATCCATTTGTACAGAGTGCATCTGTCACTTTTCCCCTTTGGTTTCTTTTGTTGTGACAGTGTATATATGTAAAGTTTGTGTTGTAGATAAACCTGCATGGGTTTCTGTCACAATCAATAAGGATGCTAATTTGATAACGTTTTAGTCTCAAGCCTAATGGCACTGTCTAGATTACCACATGTGCGTGGATGTATATGTTGAGGTACTTGCATATGCACTAACAAAAGCATGCAACACAAAAAATGGTCACCTCTGAATGCAGGAAGAGGTCGATGGACATTATGCATGACTAGATGCTACGATGATACTGGTCAGACCAGACCAAGTTAGGTACTGTAATAGGGCAGGGCGAGGGTGGGAAAGTTTATTTTTGCAGGATGGGGAGGGGTTACGTCTTCTACTGTTGCTTTCTTATCACTCTTGAGAGACTTACAAGGTAAACATTAACAGTTGTAGCTTTTTCTTCTTTTTTTAGCTTCTCCGTTCACAAAGAGTGTTCTGAAAGCTGTGTACTTATCAGATATATGCAAAAAAGTAACAGTAACTGTGAACTAATGCTAAAAAATCCAGCTTCTTCCATCATTGTTTCATTTCCCCCGTTCATCTTTTCATTCATTTGCACCTTAATTTTGTGTTCACGTCATGTGTCGTTTCCATCTGCCCTTTCCTGTTCTGTAAACTGTAATATGTCCAAAAGACACGTCTCTGTAATGCAATAATTCGCTGCACCTTCTGAACAAAGAGCAATTCCTAATTATCCATCTTTCCTTCAGCAGCATACAAACAATTTCCTTCTTTTGATGTCCCAGTGAACCGATGTCCCTTCTTTCTTTTCCCAGTAAAGAGGAAAAGAAAGTCCATGAAGCCATTCCTGTCATAGAATCCATAAATATATGGATGTGATTGGTCAAAAGGGCCACATCTACAGTCAGTCATAATCAATCCATGACTAACACATGCAAGAATCCTATCAATATAATTTAGCCAAGATGACAAATTTTTAAAAATGATGGAGATTTATACTGGTCTTAGGAAAGTAGCTCATTGTATCTTGTAATGTATAGAAGCCCTTTGTTTTTCTGGATGAACCACAGACTATTTGATTGCTTCGTTTTAAAAGTCTCAAGATTTGTGAATTCCTAGTGAGAACCATTATTGCTGGAGCAACGCTCAAAAGTTAGAGCTTGAAGAGTGTTTCATGTGAATTGTCGCTGGCTTTTTCTTTGTGTCATGTTTGTGATCTGTGTTTCCTCCATCTACTCAGGTATAGCTCTCTTAACCTGTGCCCATCTGTATCTGGTCGCCCATGCTTTCTCAGATATGACAAACTGAAGGACTAGAAAAAAACACTGAAAAAGGTTTTCTGTGAATACCATGTGCTCTGTTTTAGGGTTCCTTCTACAAAACTGCTGTCCTTGCTTTGTTTTTCCGAATGTGCTCCCTTGTCTTCTCCTTGTATTTCTCCTCACCTTTCTTCTCTGTCCCAGTAACTGTATCTCACTTTCTATGGGACACCATCCATCCATTCTTCAAGCCAGAAAACTGAAGCCAAAAAGGAAAACGTGTAAATTAGAGCACCTTCGCATTGGAAAAACAAAAACTATTGGCCTGACAGTGGACTTCGCTGAGGATGAAGATAGGAATGGACAATAAAAAGAATAAAAAAGAGGGTAATGATATGTTGTAAACAGATGCAGATGAACAAATGTGTTGAAAACTCGTGTCCTGAGTGGATTGTCAGCTGAGCAGCATCAAAGAGAGGAGATGGAGGAGGAAAAGTTTGGGCAACACAGAAAGTGTTGGAGGAGGAAAGAAAGAAGCACAAATCGCTTCTCCATGTAAGAATGTGTCCCTCACTATTGCTCTCTTGCACTGTTTGCTTCTTCTGTGTACTTCCTCACATACTGTGTTTCGGTGTGACATCGTGTTATCTTCTTTGTTTTTTTATATTGTGTTGTTCTCATCTTTCTTTTTCATAGCCTTTGTGAGCACCACACCTGGGTCAAAGAGTGTTTGTGAACACTAACTATGGCTTATTCTATCCCACACAGGTGCAGGTGACTTATAGTTTGTCATTTGGCCAAACTGCGGCCAAATTAATAAATAAGGCAAACACTGCATGTCTGATGGTTAAAGTGGGATTCATTTTTAAAAATTCCAAAACTACTGTTATTTGGCCAAGGTCTGGTCTGTGCTTTGCGGGACACATCAGCTGAGATGTTCTGCTTTCAGTTCTTAGTCTGAATTCCAATCCAGTCCTGATTGGCTGCAGTCCTCTGCTTTGAGCGCTGAATCTCTTCAATTTCACTTTCAGTCTCCGAGCTCAGTGTCTCTCAGCTCCTTGTCTGTCGTATAAGTATTTGTTCCATCAGAGGTGTAAATAGTCCCCTCGAAGACCTCTGCATATTGTTACATATCTGTGTGTATGTGGGTCACAGAAAGAAAAATGTGTGACATTCATGCTGTGGTATCAGTGTCCTTGCATGTTGGCTGGACTCTGTAAGCTTTGTGATGAAATCTTTTTTTCTCCTTTGCTTTTCAGTGTGTTTGGGCTATTATTTCCTTGCGTTGATGTGTCAGGTTTCAGTTTCCGTAATGTACAAACAACTTTTTACAGCCAACACTGGAGATCAAACATAAACAAATCTTTCTCTATTGTCTAACATAGATATAGGTAATGCTAAAGGAACTCTCACAGCGACTACACTACACTAAAAAATCTGCAGCACAGGGGCAAAAACAATACAGAGCAAAAAGGAATGCAGATCCACAGAGAATGGAGAAATAAATTCCAAGCGAATGTGTGAGGTTGAAAAGGGACACCGAGTCAAGGAAAAGGAGAAAAGCGACTTAAGTGAGAGATATACGATACAGTCATGTGAAAAACTAAGTACACCGATTTCTGCTTAAGTAGTAATTAACAGCCAGGTGCTGCTAATCAAATCCGATTCAGTGTCAACAGCGTGACCACCTTTATAAAATGTTCTCAATTTGCTGGTCTGGAGCATTCAAGTGTTTGTTCATTTCAAAAAGGAAAGACAGTAACTGCAAATACAGACATACATGTCGGACTCCACAGGCTTCTGTTAGATTAAAAGTTAAAGTATGGCGTGTAATGATTGGCAGGAAAAAGCTGTGTGTGGCTTTGCCCAAAAAGTTGATTTCGTCACTCATCCAAGTGACTTCTTCAGTCTCGGCTGACTGTTTCCCCAACCTTATAAACAGCACATTTACACAACGACTGAAACCAGCACCACTGAAGGAACAATGGCTGGAAGGTCAGTTCCTTGATCATTAATATGCACATTGGCATGACCATTGATCAACAACCACTGATCAAAGCTCATTGATCAAAGGCCATCAATCAATGACCACAGAAGAAGTCACTTGGATGAGTGACCAAACGTTTCTCTCACTGAAAACGCTACATTCAGGTCAACAGAATCAGCCTTTTGGGATTTCCTTACCTGGATGATTGAGCATGCATCAAGACAAGTATGGCTTAGGTTTGCAAAGTTGCATCTGAACAGATCACATAAAGTGATGCACAGACCAAAGTGGAGACTGACCACACCGCATGATTTGTATGTCATTGAATGAAATAAATATTTGATCGCCTACAGTCAAGGCAGAGTTCTTGCTCCCAGAAATTGGTTGTGTTGGTGGTTGTGGCAAACAGATTATAATCAATCAATCAATCAAAACAAATGACAGATACTCCTACTTTCGGTTTATGTGACTAAAGCATAACTATCCACATAATCAGATTATTTCATTCCAACCTTTCCACCACCTGTCAGGGACAAGATTGTCCACGGAAAGTGCTTACCCTATTTCATAGCAGATATATATTTTACAAGGTCCTCCTTTGCAAGAAGGCACACGTACAGACCCATCTTAAGTTTGGGAAATGTTGCAAGGCAACCAAGGCAACAAAGGAGAGGTTAAAGAAGAAGTAAATATAAGTCATGCAGTTTTTCTTGATTTGTGATTTATATTCTGTCTCAATCAATTAAAATGACCATAGAAATTAGAGAATGTCCGTTTCTTTTTAAACAAACTTTTACATTCAGCAGGGGATCAAACAATTGCCCCACCCACTGTATATAGCAAGTATTTTAGAGTCAAGGTTTTATGTCTGATAACTAAATCCTGGCCCAAATAGGGTTGTGCAACAAACCAACATCAGAATGGCTGAAAAGGAAAAGAATCAAGGTTTTGCAAACCTAAGTAAACTTAAGCAACACCATAAAGAAACATGGTTCAAAGTTCCCCGAGAACAATGTGACAGACTGATAAAGGCAATTACTTTAAGTTACAGCTGCTTGAAAGTTGTTGTAAAGGTGCTGAACCATGGGGTGTACTTAGTTTTCCACAGGAAAGGCAACTGACAATTTTTGGAGGGTAAAAAGAGTTAAATTCAAAATGTATCAAGAAAAAGCAAAACTCAACCATGTACTTAAAAAAGAGAGAAAACTTTAAGAAAAATCCAAAACATATTGAACCTTAAAGATCCAAATAAATTCCCTTCCCATTGTTGCTGAGCCTTATATTTCTTTGGTAACTGAACTGATATCATATTGAAATATTACTCATCCCATCAACCCCGAGACTATCATAATGTCCCTGATTGTTTCTCCAAGAATGTATAAATCATGATCACTCATGGTTCAGATTGTTTGGATTAGGGTTGAAGTCAAAGTGAAGTTTAGTGAGAAATGAATGCTTAATAATGCCTGAGGTGGGAAATTGTATTTTTGAAATATGTAAGTAATCATCTACTGGACTAAGACATTAGAGAAATAATTATTATAGGTCTTTTTTTTTTCCCAAAAAAGGTCCAACAGGAGGCTGTCTGGGAGAATCACCCAGAAGCAGTTTGCTCTTTGTTTTAGTCATCGTAAAACAGGAGTGGTGTAGGAAAGCAAACAAAACAGCAACAGAAGCATGGATATAAATATCAGCTCAAATCCCTGCATCAGAAAACTGCGCGCTAGGCACCAAAAGTAAAAGATTTTACAGAAAAACATATCACGATGTATTCTGTTAACGTGATACTTTTGAAAATGGTCAAAGTGGAACTAATTATGTCATTTAGTCCAGTAATTCTCTGCCCCTCCTATATTTTTGTAAATTTTCTCAAGGACTGGAAAGGATTATTATATGTGCAAGTACAGCAGAATTCAATGAAAAATATTTTAAAATCACAACTTTAGTTTGTAACTTCTGTTCCAATCAGTTTAGGATAAATGCCGTTTTTCTTTTTTTAGCAATCATTGTGTTTTTCCTCTGACACTGATATTTGTCTTTAAATACATTAAATTAATTGTTATTGACAAATACAATAACCCACAATAATTCTTTCATTCTTAACAACAATCATATTAACATAAAACCAGGTTTGCCAGTTACATACTTACTGTTATATCTGGTAGTTGCTGTGTGTGTATATTCAGTTATATAAATTCAATCAAGGATTTATTGTAACCATGGTGATACCATTTTTCAAGGTTTAGGAATAAGTTTGAACTGCTGGTGTCGCCAAAATACCCCAAAAGCAAAGAAAGCATTACTTAGCCATTAGCATCATTACAATGAATGAGTAAATGATATTTGGTCCACATGAAATCTGAAACATAAGAAAGACATTGAAAGAAATGACTAGGAAAGCTCATCCATTTTCATTGTTTTCTTTAACACATTTTGTTGCCTTTAGGCTTTTTGATGCCCCACACTGACTATTCCAAGATCTGGTGTCACATATTTACTTCATCTCCTCACAAAATTCTCTTTTCTTTTTCCCTTTCAGTGCTGAGTTTTTAACAAACTCACCCATTCCTCTACAAGAAGAGGAAAACTATTAACTGTAAACTGCTGCTCGTCTGTCTCTGCTGATGGGATTCACCGTAGAAACTGGGAGGGAGATAGAGAGAAAGAGAAGAACAACAATGGTGTTCACAGTTCCATCATCACATGCAACCTAATGGAGAAAGTGGCTGTTAGTAAATGTAAGCCATATTAACTTGGAAGACCAAACAATTTCACATCCTCTGAACTGATTTCCAGAGCGAATGGCTACATAGATTCTCTCAGCTGAGCTGCCAGAGGGCTTCCTGCCCGATGGTCTTGTATGTGGAAACCTCGTGTCTTCTGGATGTCTTCGGTGTTTTAGTCACAATTTTATGTAATTTAGTTGTCATATTGCTTTACTTACCTTTTTTTTTCAAGAGACTGCATAAACTGCGACTGATTCCCGGGAATCATCCATTATTTTGGCACTCAAAGCACTATGCAAGGTGAGGGAGTCTATCACGATGTCCAGCGACTGCTAGGCTGCCCTGTTAATCTCAGCTGAGAAACAGCAAGCTGAAGTCAATTCATACATATCAAAAAACAGCAGCTTTCACACTTATATGCACATCACACAGTCATTTATGTTTTATACTAGCTGAATCTCCCAGGAGGCATCGAGACAACATCTGGGGACTTGAAATTCAGCAAGACATCAGCATGTTAGTTCGGATGATGTAACCCAAAGACTACAGACACTTGGATGGATGCATTAGTTGAGATGAACAGAAACACTCAAAGGCACTAAACTGGCCATAAGGTCACATGGCTGTCTTCAGGCATCACTGATGACAGCCATGGGATAGGCCCTCTTTCTCACTTGTTCCTTCTTGAGATTTTATGGTATCTTACCCGAGTACCCCCGCCACCCTTAACTGCATCTCTGCATTGTTATTGCTCCTCCCCTTTAGAAAATCTGCATGGAAATCTGTATTAATGGGGGGAGGGGGGCATAGTTAATTTTTCTTTCAGCATTGTTAGTGTAATGGTAGCATCACTATCATCCAAGATACGTTTTAACTACTTACTGCTAAGGAGCTAAGAAAACATGGTGGAGGAGGATGAGCACCCTCCTCCCAGAGAAAAAGGAGACCATACACACCATATCTGTTTGGAGGTGTGAAACTGAGCAGGCAAACATCTTTTACAAACTATTTGAGGGACAAAAAATGGCAGTGATTGCAAATTAGAAATTCATTTTTCTGACATTGTTTATCAGCATGAATAATGTGCATGACTTTTGCAAGTCACTCTTTTCTCTCATGAATAACAGGGCTAGAAACTGGTTTTTGTGTGTGTGTGTGTGTGTGTGAAAATGTAATAATGTTATGTTATATGCAATAGAATGCGTACAGATAAGTGTGTAGGAATAACGATTTCATCCATTTGATTAACATGGTAAAACACCATTAAGAAAAAAAAGGTGAACCCTGTGTAGTTCTCTTTAAGATGTCTTAGGACACCCAATAATATAGCTTTCTTAAATCCAAGAGGAGTCCTCTTCAACTTTTGCAAGTATTTATTCTGCTATTGCTTCAACCTTTCACCTGGCTGCTATTCTGCCTTTTTCTTATTATTACTATCTCTTCTTCTTATTGAAGCCTCTTAGTAGAGTCCCTAGCTGTTAATCTCTACAATCACTGCTGTTTCCGGACTGAAAGTTGTCCATTCAAAGATGTCATTATCCTGTGCAGTCAAACTGAAAAGGTTACGTTGTTCTTTTAGTTACTTTGTCCTTGACCTAAATATTGCTTCCAAGGTCTTGAGGACCTTCCAAAGAACCATCAGAGGTGTGGGGTTCAGGTTACTTCAGGAGAAGGTCTACTGTTGCTTTATTTGTTCGTTTGTACATACTCTCAAAGTAATCCAAGCTGATCAGATGCCTTCATCAGATGAAAAGGTACACAATGCCTCACACTTGATGAGGGGGACAGTCTGACAGACACTGAAAGATGTCATCTGCAGATGTTTGATTTCATGGTGTAGCTTGGACAAATGACTCTTTAAGAGAAATACACAACCCCATCATCACTGTTCGGTATATTTGGTGTATCTTTTTGTCTTGATCTGGAATAACCTCTTTCTTTAATTTTCACAATGGTTCAGGGACAAAAAGAAAAAGAAATACCTTGGTGGAGTTTCTCAAGTTGCATATTTGAATATTTGTTGGCTGAATGAAATATGTAATCACTACATTTATATTACTCTTATCCATGAGCCCATTTCATAAAACTTATACCTGGAGTTTCCATAGTTTTGGAAAAAAACAGCCTGCAAAGGTGCTGGCTACTAATGACCTCGCCTGATGAGTCCATTTATGATATCTTTAGTAGGCTGTCATAGCAAATAGTGTACCAGCTGAAAAATTAGGCTACAAGTTAATAAGTAAAAAGAGGTTGGGAAAACTGTTGTTTGAAATATTTAAAGAGAATTGTGCCAAAATACACTATTTGAGTCAAACAAAGTCTGCTGAAACACTGTAGGAGCAGAGTATGCACAAGTGTAAGACATGCTCCTCTGACAGATAGAAAAAAGATTATTATAAGAAATATGTTTGTTAAATTATCTGGATTTTAATTGTGCCTCTCATTTTTATACTGTTTCATTCATATGAATTGCTCTGTGTTGTCTCTATTATACATTGATTTTTGCTCATGATGCTGGGTAAATGGACTGGTTCATACGTATAGCGCTTTTCTATTCGAGCACTCAGAGCGCTTTATACAGCATGCCTCATTCACCTGATAACAGAAGGTATTTTTCCCATGCCCAAGTGTTTTAATCTAACATTCACTCACATTCACACTCTGATCGATGCAGTGAAGAGCAAGTTGAGGTTATCATCTCACCCAAGTATATCTGAAATGCAGGCTAGAGCAGCCAGGGTTTGAATCTCCCGATTAGTCGATGACCTGCTCCACCTCCTGAGCTGCATTACATTATTATTAGAATCTCTTATTTCATGAACGTCAAAGAAATGACAAAAAAGGCAACTACAAAGCCGTACAAAACAACTAAAGAGAGATTTTAATAACTAAAAAGACAAATAGAACACCCCTTACCCACAAATAGATCCAGAGAGTCTACAGTGATGATGATAATGACTACAATGACAGTTGGAGGCTCATAATAACTGTAAAGAGATTAAAAATCACCTCAAGAGACAAAACAGAACTAAAAACAACTAAAAAAGAGACAATAAATAAAGTTAAAAAATATCAGTGAGAGGCCCAAAACTTTAACAGAAGAAAAAGACGACCATGTTCACCTTCTTATTTTCTTTAAAGTGTCTGACTGCATTCTGACTGGGGTAGATGGAGGGGTAGGAGTGGGCTTTTACATGGCGATGCCTGAGGCCTCAAATTCTGTGAGTAGATTTTTTATTCTATGGCAGACATACAGTAGGACACCAAACGTCAAATCAAAACATAATGAAAAACATGTTTCCTATGAAAAATGGCAAAAATGAAACATTTGAAAAAATCTGTTTATTTGAAGGCAAGCAAGCACTTTCAGCTGAAGTCGCTAAACTCACCTGTCTGCTTATATAAGAGCCACAGAGCTAAAATTAGAGGCCACGTAGAAAAAAAAGATTGATCGTTATCCTGAGAGATTTGAATTTATGTACTATATCTTTAGATTATTGCTCTCCGTGCCTTGCTAATCAATAGCAAGACTCTGCTTTGGAAATACTGCTGTGATATTTAGGATTAATAAAAATGTATGTATATATCCATTTAAACAATACATTTATCATTTATTGCTTAGCAGCCATGGTAGCTGAAGCTGAGGTTATGGATGATGATAACAATATGTTTTATAATAAATGTTACTTTTTTCAACATAATTTATGGTGATTCTTAATTTTGGTGGTAACCCAGGGTATCTCAGGTATATAGTATTCTATCAAAACATCAGGATGTTAGGATGCTGCAGTACTAAATCCGAGGAATTCAGTGAGTACATGTGGCTCTGTGGAAGTTAACTTGGAGGCTTGAAGTAGATTTTTCTGACTAAACTCAATGCGCTAGCATCTCTGACTTTAGTGATATTGCATGGGATAAGAAGAATTGGTTCCAGTGTTTTAGATCAGTTGTTTGCTTAACACTGTATATTACTTCAGCTTCAGCCGTGTCAAAATGAACAAGAGGATTTTATGTACTGTATTGTAGCTACACCAAGATAAACATCCATCCATTAGTTTTTAAAACTTATGCCAATTGTACTCACTGGAGACGTGATCTGATGTTTTATTTGAAGTCTTGGAATAGTTTTGATTCTATTCCAAAACTAACACAAGTCCAAAAACTGCATAATGGGTCTTTGACGAGTAAAATTTGTTGTGATATTTGGTTCTCTGACATCTTCAGTTTGTGAATATTTTAAATTTTTGCTTTTCGGTGTTTCCAAAATGATGTCTAATCCATTCCACACGTATGAAAAAATGCTTCGGAAGGTTTTGGGACATGAACACAAACCTGTATCACAGTGAGCTTTACCCCATCACCTCATCACCATCGCCAACCACTCCCATAATTCATCAGCCATGTTGTGTCAACCAGGCCACCACTTGTCCACTAACCCACTTAAAAACATAATGAAGCATTAAAAGCCAGTAAAGACTGTTAGATTGTAGAAACACGTAGGAAGTTCTTAGGATAAAGTAATAATGGAACAGGGCTCCCTGGTTTATGTTATTTTTCAGGATTTCCAGTTATGTACATATGTAGGTGTTAAGGTGTTTGTGTATAAAACATGTACGACAGGAATGCTTTGCAGACTGAACTAGACAATGTCCCTGTGCCCAGATGGACCACTAACTAGCCAATAGTGCTACTTTTGCTTTAAACCCAAACCATAATGAATTTTGTAGCCTATACAAGTATTTTAAGTAGTTAGCTAAGTCAGGTTTTTGGTTAGTTAATCCAGCAGGGCTGAGACATGGGTTAAAATTTCAATGTGTAGTGTACATTTGGCCCCATCCTAGAAGAACACAAAATTAGAAAGTGAGTGGTGTGACAGGGCTCAGGTGTGGTAAAAGGTCCTGTGTGCAAAAGTTTAACCCATGTAGAGCAGAAGTTTACATAAATATTTTTCACATTTTAGGCTGAGCTAGCAGGATTATTAAGACAGTTTAGGTCTGGACTAGATAAACTTTTCTTTTTGCAACACTGTGGTGAAACTCCTTTTGCTTGTCTCACCAAATCTAACCGATATACATGACTTTCATGATCTGAATTCAGATTACGAGTGCCAACACTGAGAAAACATGGATAGCTTTAGATTCTAAATTCTCTTCATTTCAGTATGGTTCATGAGTGTAGCCAGTCTGACATCCAGTCTTGCATGGAAATGAGAATTAACGAGGTTGCTGACATGTTTCTAAAAAGTAGAAAAGTGTTATAACAAATAGACAAAGAAATATCACCCTTATCAGTTTTGGAGGATTAGGTTACTTGAAAGCACCCTTTGGCTAGTTCAAAAAGTATCACGAATTAAGTGTGCAAGAGAAGAAGTACAAAGTCAAATAAAAGTCTATGTTGAGGGAAAAGCAAATAGGTTCTATGTTGGCCTGGTCAGTCAAAAGATCATATGACAAGATGAAGACATGTTCATTCCAAAATCTTCATTGTGGTGGTTTCTCTTTTCTGAAGCATTAAAATATTGGTGTCTGTGACACTCTGAGAACTGGGGGTGTCGTGTACACCATGTAGCTTACAGGCTTGTTATGAATTCATAGGCCTAATAAAAGACAGTATCAGGATACAATAGTGATTTAGGTTTTTTTGCAAACAGATCGACAGCTTACCAGCAAACTGATAAGACACCGGCAGTTCTGACAGTCAGTAAAGTCAATACACCATCACCACTTCCAAAGCTATTTGCTTGATTGCTCACAGGATATTTAGTGAATTTTGGCTAGCTCTCCAAGTCTGGGTAAAGTGATCTGAAATTATATGTGGGTGTTGTAAGGAACAAAATTAGATTTTATATTCAAACGATCTGACTAGCTAGAATTGATGTAGCATTTTTGTACACCGGCTGTATTAACTGGTCTAGCTTTATTAGATTTTTTTTTTTAAATAAACTGGTAAAAACAGACTTACCATGGTTAGTTACTCTGTCCTAGTGCCATTAGGCTATATTATTTGGATAATTAAGTCCACTAGCTTAAAACCATAAACAGTGATAAAAAAGAAATAGGCTTTTATGCTTAGCATGGAGAACTTTTTGTGTCAGTTTTAGCATGTTAAGGTCTAAAACTTCAACCCATATTTTCTGCAGCAACATCTCCATTCCAGGCGCCTTGCTTTTCCTCTATCTTAAACGTCTTCTCCTCTTTGTTCTCTTTCTTTCCTGATGCCTTCCTTCAGTTACTTTAAAGAAGAAGCTTTTTTTTCTTTTTGCATCCCTTGTTCCTGTATTTTTGTATTATATTTTTGGAGGTTAATTCCAAATGCATGCATGAGAAACATCAAAATAATGACGTTAACATAGTGTGAATGACCTGGTGAAGGGAAGCCTCCCCTCCTTTGACAGAAAGCAGTCCTATTTTCTTACTTTTTGTGTCAGATTTTAAAAGAAATTTTATAACCAACAAATAATATAATACTGTAATTTATAAGCCACAGAGGCAGCAGCACTATCTGAAGACAAATGTGGTTTAGATGGTTGATGCACCTAATTCAGATGTCTCTGAACATGAAAGTACAAAAAAATAAAGTCAGTGTCTCTTTTGGTAGGGTGGACTCTGTCACAAAACTCTGTGTTTCTGTCCTCATGATGAGACATCAGCAGCTAAAATACTATTACTATTTAAAGAACTGCATCTGCTTTAGGTCGTTTTAGTTCCACTTTTCTGTTTTTTTGTTTTTTGTTTTTTTGCTTTTTTGTTGATAGTGAAAAGGCAGAGCTAAGAAAGATGACTGCAACAGAAAGATGAGAGGCTTCCCTACATGAATGAATTAGTTACACTCTAAAAAGCTGATCTTGGATCTGATTTTGTTGTCACTGCAATGGAAAGAGAAAAAGAATCAAGAACTGTATAAAATATATCTGAATGGAATGTTAATTATTTACCTTTTTCTAGTTTTGAAACATGTAAAAGAACAAAGGTGAAACTATGAAAATTCAACATTTGTGAAAAAAAAAACTGCTGTCAAACAGTGTGAATGCTGTGAATGCTGATTTGCCTGAGCAGCTCTCCTTCCGAATTGATAGATCATCCTTTAAAAAAGAATAATACTAAAAACAAAATAACAATAAAAAAAATAATTTAAAAAAGTTAATAAAAGAATTAAAAGCAAATGCCAAAATTTTTTACATTTGTCCTGTTTTTTGTTTTTCTTAATGATTATTTGTCATTCCCGCACACATCTTCATGTCACATTTTACAGCATAATGTGTAGATACAAGATTGCTTTTTGGACACTATATTTTAGAACTTTAGCGTTCTGGCTGCTTTCATGTTCGTTTTTTGGACCCAAAACAAATAACACCAATAACAAAAGTAGTCTAAAGGTCCACTACAAAGATGAGGCCTAGCAGACAGCAGCTGTAGCTGGTTTCGGGACAATTGCCAAGCAAAGACTCACAGCCTTGGCCAGCCACTTGAAGAGGTATATAAATCAGCTGCACTCTAATGAGCCTGCCAAGGTGTACTCTCAGTGGCATGAAAAAAAAGACTGGAGCCGGAGCAATATTTGAAGAGCATATGGGTGAAGTATGCAACCAATAACAGCAATGCTCAGTGGCTTGTGAATCTATGAGCAGACCACAGCAACCTCCCAGTGAGCATCACACTGGCTGACATCCAGGAAAGGGTCTCCAGTATGAAGAGTTGGACAGCACTAGACCCTGATATGATGCACACCTACTTGCAGAAGAAGCTGACTGCACTTCATGAGTGCATGGCTGCACAAATGAACCAGCTGCTAGTAGATTCGATACCCAGAATGGCTAACTGATTGCTGGACAGTCCTGATCCCAGATGATCCCCACAGGTCCCATCCAACTATCAGCCAATAACCTGCCTCAGTACAACATGAAAGCTCCTATCAGGCATTATAGTGGCTGAGGTGAACAGGCATATGGCTCAGTACATGAGCGGGGCACAGAACGAATTAGGCAGGAACACCAGAGGGGCAAAACACCAGCTACTGTTAGATAGAACAGACTCCGAGGCCAGGCTCACCAACCTCTGCACCGCCTGGGTTGCTTACGAGAAAACCTATGCCTCATACCTGGATCCTGGAATGCATAAACTGTACAAGATCAACAGGACCCTAAGAGCTAGTGATGGTAAATTTGATTCTTTTTACTGAATTGAGTTTTAATGAGTCACTCACCAAAGTGAATCGGCTTTTTTGAGTCATTTGATTCACTGAGTCAGTTGACCAGAGAGTGCAAAAAATGTACATTTTCACTCAAACTTAATTTGTTTCTCTTTTCATGTAAATCCTACTGCTAAGATGAGTGATTCTAAAAGAAAACAACTATTTTATATAGAAAAAAAGAGCAAAAACATTTCTAAAATTAAGCTATTTCTTATCAAAATTGCTAAATAAACATTTATTTTGTGTATTTTTATTTTATTAGTATTTTCCTTAAATGTGTTAAATATATATTTTCTCATCTAAATGTCCACTGAGCTGTGAGCCAGGGGGCGGAAATGCGCCTTAACATTGGTTGCCAACCATGAAGAAGAAGAAGCTGTGAGCCAGGAGGGAGGGGGTGAGCGAGTGAGTGATTCGTTCGCTCGCTCTATGATTCAGCACAGGAGGGAGGAGGTTAGTGAGTCCTGAGTGATTCGCTTAGGCTTACGATTCAGCACAGGAAGGGAGGGGG